GAGAAGCCCAGGGAAGACATTGAGGCTCCTGCAGGGGAGGGCGGTCAGTGATGGGAGAAGGCTGGAAAGAGCGGAGAGGTGCGTCTCGTCTGGAGGATACCTTCGCTCACTCCAGGACTTCAACGCTGGCCCACCTCACAACAGCCGCTAGGGGCCCTTTCTTTGTGGCCCCAAGGTCTCTGTTGGATGAGGTGTCGGGCCCCTGCCTTCGTCCTCTCTTCCCCACGCCGCTTCTGCCCTAGGGACCGGGAACGAAAAGCAGCCCCAGCGGTGGAGGCATTCCTGAGGGCCCAAGCCCGTCATACCTCCCGCCCCTCTAACCAAAGCCGGGGACCCGGCACCCCCACCCCCAGCACTAAGACAGCAGGCACCGCCGTGCACACAATGCGCACGCAGGGCCCGAGACACCCGCACACACCTCACACAAAGGGCTGCACGCTCCGCACGCAGTACGCACTAAGAGTCCGGGATACCTGCATACACCTCACACCCAGCACACGCACACCCACCACTCCTCGGAGCCACAACCAGCCCACGGAGCGCAGCACGCCCCGCATACAATGTGCGCGTGCGCGGGACTCAAGACACCGCACACACCTCTCAGCCAGCACCTCAGCACCTCAGCCAGCACCGCCTCAAGCCTCCTGGGCACAGCACCCAGGGTCTCAGGCCCCACCCCTCACTCCACATACAGCCCCTCGGGGTCAGTTAGCTGGGGTGGGAGGCAGAAGGCCCGGGGTCCAGGGTGATGCCCCTGACCTTGGACTGCCGCTCATGGTCGCCCCATCGCGGCTCCTCCGGCTTCGCAGGCTCGACTGTTTGCTCATTGGGATCCCACAGAGCCAAGGGGTCACTGGGCCTCGAGGTTCGGATGAACTTGTTGGCCCATAAGTCCCCCGTAAAGCTTTTCCACTCCATGGCAACTGCTGCTATGGGAGCCCGCGGGGGCCAGAGCGCGGCGGCCCACTGCCGTGGGAGGGTGGGGGGAGGGAAGGGGCAGAGGGTTGAGGCCTTTGGAGTCCCCAACATTCCCAGTCTGGACCTCTCCAGCTCTGCAACATCACTTCTGGCCGCGACGGTCTGGGAACTTCAGAAAACAAGAACTTGGAGAAGGGATCTCAAGGCCAACCCCTTCACTTTACAGATCAGGCCCAAAGAGGCAAATCGACTTGCCCAGGGAGCCCCAAGTGACTTGCAGCAGAGGCAGAGTTCGAACTCTAATTTTCTGACAGGATTCTCCGTGTACCGTCCAGCCAGTTGTCAACTATTCACGTTTCCAAGGCCTTCAAGATTTACAGCGCACTCCCCACAATAGCTCTTTGAGCTGGATAGGGTATGAGCATCCCCAGTTGGCCAACCAGATGTAAGCTGAAAGGATCATAACATTTAGAATTGAATAGGACTTTAAAACTAGCAAGAGTTGGAGTGGAGACTTAACTAGAGAACCCTGACTGACTCAAGTCCAGAGCTCTCTGTTGCACCACATCAGCTGCCTCTCATTCAGGCAGCCAAGAGTGGATAGAGTGCTGGGCCTAGAGTCAAGAAGTAATGTTCCCCTTGGTTTCTGTTTTTCATTTCAAATGCAGCCTCAGACACTGTACAAGTCAGGTAACCACGCAGCCTCATTATCCCCATCTATAAAATGTTACCTACCTCACAAGCAGAGCATATTGTAAAGCATTTAGCCCTGCACTGTACACATAGCAGACTCTTAATAAATGCTTGCTCCTTGTACTCTCATAGCTGTCACTAAACCTGCTTAAATCTCTTCCCTTCTCCAAGGCTGTTTCCTCCTCTACAAAATAAGGAGGTTGGACAAGATGAGGGCTCTGTGAACTACAGGCAAGCTAGCCAAACCTGGCCCATTTAAAATAAAGATATAAAAACCATTCTAAGCCCAAATGCCATACAAAAGCAGGTGGCTGGGGCAGCTAGGTGGCGCAGTGGTTAGAGCACTGACCTTGAAGTCAGGAGGACCTGAGTTCGAATCTGTCCTCAGACACATAACACTCACTAGCTGTGTGACCCTGGGCAAATCACTTAACCCCAATTGCCTCACCAAAAACAAAAAACAAAAGCAGGTGGCAGGGGGCTGCATCAAACTCTGGTCTATGTGAGCCATCTTGCCGTTCCAACTCTTTAGGCAACGCATTCCCATTCTGCTATCAGAACAGCATCTGCAGCAGTCAGCAGTTTCTCCTGTCTACCTTCAGGATCCCAACACTTACTAGATACCTAGGGACATAACATTGGATTTGGGAGTCAGACAGATATGAGCTCAAATCCTGCTTTGAATACTTTCTACTAGTGTGACCCTGAGCAAGTCACTAAACTTCTCTCAACCTTGGTTTCCCCATCCTTAAAATGGGGGTGAGCACCTACCTCCTAGGGCTATTAGGATCAAATGAGATGTACTTAACATACATGTAAAACTTTAAAGTACTATGTAGAGTTATTATTATTACTGTTACTATCTTCTCCTTGCTAAAAAGAAAAAGAAACACTCATATTAAGAGGCAGCACTGGCTGGGGGCCAGCGATGGATCACCACACTCATTAGGAAATGACCAACAAGCAGTCCCTTTGTCCTGATTTAACCTTAAATGTTTATCATCCTAAAACATGAAATGAGTTTTCACTACACCCCTAAGAATCAAGTGGTATTAAAGTTATTTTAGATACTTAACTCACAAAACTGAAGTGTTTCACTGCTTTCAAAAATAATAATAGACATTGGTAAGGGATTATTTTTCTGTGTGCAACACAAAAGGCACCTATGTTCTCTTCCTTTCTACCTTAATATCTACTCTCTGGCTTCTTTAACGTTTGCTTCTCCTCTTTTGAGGGTTACCTACTCCTGACCCTTAGTCTTGCTCCCATCCAAAAGTTATAGTTTTTATTCTGAAACAATATTATCAAATTTATGTTTCTGCCAGAAAATTACTCCCTTAAGGTTGCATGGAACTGGTTTGAAAGATTGAGCCTGGGGATTTCGGTAGTCCAAGTACTACAGATGGATCCCCTGAGGGCTGCCTGCAGAGGTATACATTTTTGATTTGCTCCCAGCATTGAGAACTTTAATAAGATGCTTACAGAGACTGGAGCTGACTTACACATTTTGATAGATCAACGGAAGCTCAATGATTAAAGCTCCAAAACTGTACAGATGATGAACAGAGAAATAAAACTGAGACTTTCAAAGAAACCACAAATACCATGGCAGAATCAATTAAACACTGCACTGTGGTGCTGCAGATTGAGGGAAAAGTACTATTATTCCTGTAGAGGGTATATATCAACCTAGTTCCTTGGAACCAGTGATTAACAGAATGTCTACTCATCAATAAACAGGTATTAGTAATTTGTATTGATTAATAAATTTTATTAATTTCATTAATATTTATTGAGTGCAAAAAAAATTGGGCCTAACATGAACTGCTTTTACATATCCAAGGAAACCAAACAATCCTGGAACTTCAAAATTACCCTGTAAACTACAGGAACATAAGGATCCAGAGCAGGCAGGGATCTTAAAGATAACACAGTCCAACCCTTATAGATATGGGGAAACTGAGAACTAGAGAGGTTACCTGTCACATAGAGTATGCGAAAGAGTCAGAATTCAAACCCAGACCCTCTTTCTTCAAATTCAGTGTTCTTTTCACTATATCATAGTGCCAAATTATTTTTTAAAAAAGTGTTTAAGTGAACAAAAAGCTATTTTTTCTCCCACTTCCCCCAACCGGGGGAAACAAGAAACAAAACCAATGGAACAAATATGCATAGTTAAGCAAAACAGGTTCTTGAATTAGCCTTGTCCAAAAAAATGTCTCAATTTATACTAAGTCCCATAAATACTTTGTAATATGGGACTTATAGGTCTAATATAGTGGAAAGAACATTAACTAGCACTAATTCTGGTCAGCACCCCAGGATTCAAATTTCACCTGTAACACTTACTACTTGGGTAACACTGAGCAAGTCACAACCTCTCTGGGCTTTCTTTACCTCATCTTTAAAATGAAGGGGTTAAAAGGGAAGGCCTCTGAGTCATCTTCAGTCCTAAATCAAGGGTCTTCACTCAGGGTTCCTGAACTTGGATTTTGAAAATATTTCAGTAACGGTATTTCAATATAATTGGTTTCCTTTACAATCTCATATATTTCATTTTATATAATTAAAAACATTATTCTGAGACATCCATAGGCTTCTCAGTTCAGAATGCCAATGAGATAAAAAAAAAGTTTTAAAAAACCTTGCCTTAGATCTATGAGCTTAAGATCAATCGGTAGTAGTAACAATCTTTTAAATTTTTATAGCACTTCACGGCTTAAAAAAACTTTCACAAACATTATCCCATTTGACCCCCATACCAACTCTTTAGGTAGGTAGGATAGGATTATCCCTATTTTACAGATATAGAAACAGATGCCTAGAGAGGGAAAAAGACTTGAGCAAAGCCATAGCTAAGCAGCAGAGCTGGGACTAGAGCCCAGATTTTCTGGCTCCTAGTTTATTTGTAAGGGATTTGGGATTCAACATTATTAAATATATTCTTTGTAGCAAATGTTTATTCTTTGTTTATAAAGACAATTAGTTAAAGCATCTGAGAAAAAGAATATAGGTAATCAGAATACAAATAGATTGTGTTCCTAAATTTCATTTATGAGTTAGTTTTTAAAACTTAGAACATATATCCCTATAGAATGTTACAATGGGTGGCCCAGGTACAGATGAATTAGTACAGTTTGGGTTTAAATGTTCTGTCATCTGAGCAAACTTAAATTTCCCTTAAACCACACATTTCTAGGGAAATACATTCTAGACCCCCAAAAAAAGTAGCCAGGAAGACATGTCTTCTCCTTGGGCGGCATTCTACCAGGGAGGAAGAGTGGGCATTCCAGGGCAACGGGAACTTGGTAAATGTGACACACTGCTATCCATATCCCATACTCATCTCATTTCTTCCTCAAGGAATCTACGAATTCTTCCCTGCTCCCTCCAAACAGTATGCTGGTTTTATGTGGTAGGTTTTTTTTTTTTTAAGCCAGGCCCGTGATTTCAGCAGTGTCAAGAGCTCTACGTGATATACTCTACCACAGGCACCTTTTCTGCAATTTATTGTCTTAAGAGAATTGCATGTAGGGACACACAGTCCTTTTGTGATACAGGCAGGACTTAAACCCAACTATTTCTCATTCCAGCCAGCTCTCCATCCACCATACCATCAACCTCTCTTTATGGTTATACTTGGATTTAAAGGGTTTTTTAAGGATATTCTTAGTATTCATATAGCACTTACCAAAACAGTTATCATTTACAGCATTTTGATTTGAAGTTGAAAGAATATTTATAAAGGTGTGACCTGAGGGTCAAGAAAATACACCAACTACACTACTACACTATAAAAGTTAAGGGTTTTCCACTCTGAATTCTGATGGCCTATATTCCTTTCCTAAACAACACACCAGATTTCTGTAATACTGAAATGAAATATTAACTGACATAGGGTACCTTTAGCCATCAGTACAATTATATAGATTCTCTTAGATAGAATCCCAGGCTACTATACAAGAAGCTTTAGTTGAGAAGAAAAGAAACGAGGACAAAATCCATTTTGGTAATTGATATGGATTTGGGGGGTTTTTTCCCCTTCCAACTTTCCTTCTTTTCTTTCTTCATAAAAGTGTTCCCATGTAGATGTCTTCTTCATAATGGAGTCACGTACTAGTTTACAATTTTAATTTCTTTACGTAAATTTCAGGCATTAGAGAATTGGAAATACAATTGTAATTACTAATTTAATATGCAAAATTATATTTTAATTAAAATGCACATTGTGAATTTTATTCTTTTGCCACTAGCTAAAGCCCAATTTACAACTTTCCAGTTCAGACTTTGAAATGCAAAGATTTAAAAATCTATTTCAAATCATAGCCTTATACATAAATATAATCTGTACATTGCATTAATTATACAATAACTGATCTGCCATCATAGAGGAGATCAAAATTTCAGAAGAGAGATCAGACCTAGTTCAAATTGAAGAAACAGGTTACTTCTTTGTTAATGGAAGACGTTTCAGTCTGTAAAAAAAAAAATTAAAAATCATAAATCACTATACTTTAAAAATATATCTTGTGGGATTCTCTAACATTCATCTTTATTGTCTCTCTACCATCTACACTAAGAATGTTAGAATATAATCTTTTCAATGCAATCAATTTATAGTCATTGGTCAGTCCATGAGAACAGAACAAAACTTGGTCACCTCTCTATCGTTGGCTCATTACCTTCAGAAATGTGCCTCTCAATATGACCCTTGTCTAACAGTACGCAGTTGTCGAATCTAAGCTTCTTTGTCCTTGTACTCCCAGCCCTATCACAATTCCTTGCACATCAACTAACCAATCAACATTTATTAATTGCCTTCTACATACTAGATGCTGGGAATACAAATACAAAGAGTGAAGCAATTCCTACTCGCAAAAAAGTTTACATTATAACGAGGGAGGCAACTTGCATAAAAATACATAGAATAAAAATATAAAGTTAATAAATACAAACACATACAAAAGAGTTAAATACAATGTAGTTTTGGGGGATCAGGAAAATCTTCACGTAAAAGACGGTGCTTGAGCTTCTAAAGTAGAAGGAATTAAGGAATACATTTCAGACTCGGAGTGTGGCCAGTAAAGAGGCACAGCAGGCAGGGGATGGAATGTATGAGGAAAAGACAAAAGGCCAATTGGGCGGCATTGCACAGTGTGGGAGGGGGTATAATATCTAATGAGGCTGGAAAGACAGGTTGAGGCTAGACTGTGAAATGATTTAAAAGCCAAACACGAGAGTTTATATTTTATCCTAGAGGCAACAGGAAACCACTGGAGTTGGTTGAGTAGGGGACTAGAATGGTCAGATCAATGCTTAACTAAAATTACTTTGGCAACAATGTGTAGAGTGAACTAGGGTGGGAAGAGACTTGAACCAGGAAGAACAATTAGGAGGCTTGCAATAATCTAGGTGAGTGAGGGGTGATGAGGACCTAAATGGCAGTAAACTGCATGAACAGAAAGAAGGGACTGGATGCAAGAGATGTTGTGAAGTTAAAAACAGCAAGATTTGGCAACAGATTAGCTATATGGGGTAAGGGAGAGTGAGGAGTGCAGGATAATGCTGAGGTTATGAACCCAAAAGACCAGAAAGATGGTGGTGCCTTCAAGAGAAATAGGGGAGTCTGGAAGAGAGGAGCATTAGGGGAAAAGATAATGAGTTCAGTTTTAGACATGTTAAATATAAGATGTCTCTAAGGCACCTAGTCTGAAATGTTCAATAGGCAATTGGTAAAGTGTGACTAAAGGTCAGAGGAGAGACTGGGCCTGGATATACAGATACAGAAATAGATACACACACACAAACACACATATACACATCCCACACCCCACCCACCCATACACACATACACACATGTATATATCTGGGAATCATCTGCATAGAGAAAATAGTTAAACCCATGGATGCTGATGAGGTTACTGAGAAAGAATAGTGGGAAAAGAAGACAGTGACGGGGCAATGCTCCTCAAAAGCCAGAAAAAAAAAGTCTCTTAAGGAACATTCAGACAGATCTAGGAGAACCAGAATACAGTGGGACAATGTGCAGAAGGAGAAGGCAGTCACCAGTGTCAAAGGCAGCAGAAAGTCACCAGATGCAGCAGTAACAAATGCAGAGACTATGAAAGAGATCATCAGATCTGAGAAGTAAAGAGATCACCGGTAACTTTGGAGAAAGAACTTTCAGATTAGTTGAGCAGGTTCAGCTTCGACCTCAGATGAATTTGCAGAGCTCAGTTTCAGCTAAGCTCGGAAACCAGATGCAAGGGACAGAGGAAGGCAGTGAGAGGAGATGAAATGGAGGCAATGAGTCTCGATAACTTTTTCAAGGACTTTGGCTGAGAAAGGGAGGAAACAGAGATTGAAGGGATGACGGGTAAAGTTTGGTGAAGGTTCTTCAAGGATGGGAGAGACACGGCCATGTCTTAAGTCAACAGAGAAGGAAACCAAAGACAGCAAAAGACTGAACACTGGCAGGGAGGAGGATGAGTGAGGATTTGCTCTGCAATAGACGAGAGGGGATGGGATCAAGTGCACACGTAAAGGAGTCGGCCTTGGCAAGGAGAAGGGCCACTTCTTTGTCGGAACTGGAGGAAAGGAAGAGAGATGATATCAAGGTGCTGTGAAATGAAGGAAATGGGAGAGAATAACAGGCACTTAGGAATTGCTGAGTTAATATAAATTGTGTTATAAAAGATGTACAAAGAAGAGTTCTCATCTTGGGTCCATCAATAATTTACTGTTTGACCTTTGGAAAGTGGTTTTTACTTCAATATCAAATATGACTGAAGATTTCATTTCAAAACCTAATTCTCAGTCTATTAGCATTGTAAAGGCTAATAAATACAAAATAGAGCCACATCTCTTTTAAACACCAGAAGGACCAGGCACATCAATTAATGCAAAAATATTATAATTCTGCTTTGAAATAAAATTTTTTATCCTAGCATCTCTATTTTCTTTGTCTTGTAGATAAAAAAAAATACGCACTGTGTCAATTGACACAGCTTGGTCCTTTGACCAAGCTTGGTCCTTGGCCCCGTCTTAAATTCTGGTTCTCCTAGTGTTAACTGTACTACATACAGATGTAAAGAAATAACTTGAACATGTAAAAAGAACATTAGGAATCATCTCTTTCAACCCTTTTATTCTGCTGATGGGGAAATCCAAAGAAACGAAGCTATAACACTTTCAGTGTTTAGCACCAAGACCAGAACTTTGCCTTATACTCCAAGGTCATGAACCCTTTCTTCCTGCTGGCTCCATTTCTATATCAGGGGAATACAAAAGAAGGACATACCTTCTCAGAAGTTCCTGAGGTGATATGTCTTTGACCTTCTCTGTATCACTCTGGCCGTCACTGCTATCAACACTCTCCGAACTACTACTCTTCTCTGTTTTTTTATTTTTCTGTTTGTCTTTCTGTTTATGCTTCTTGTGTTTCTTTTTCTGGTTTAAAAAAAAGAAAGAAAGAAAAATATAGTTGCTTAGTCCTGCATTTTCCTTGTTTAGTGTGAAGCTTTGAGGTATTCTGGAATAAATGGATAAATTCTAGAAAAAATAATGAGAAAAAAGACAGCTGGGTTCATTAAAAACAAAAAAACCCAATTTCAAAATGAAATCCAGCATACTTTGGTGTAGCAAAGAAATAACAGTATTTACATGGCACAGTGGTACAAACTTTAACTCCTAAACAAACATATTTAGGGCACAGTCCTGCAGACACTGCACTTCCAAGACGGTCTAAGACATTTCTCATTCACTCAAATGACCTCGTTTTTCTTGAATGTCTCTGAGTGGCTAGAAATCCGGGTGACAGACATCATGGAAATGCATACAGAGAGGGGCTAGTCAGAAAAACAATACCACTATCACCTTGCAAAAACAAGAAAACGTAGTTAAGAAATAATTTCATTTTAAAATATATCTATGATACTTTTTAACTCCTTAATTCATCTCAAGAAGGTATGATTCTTATGTATTTTTTCTCTCATTAGTCTGTTAATATTAAGCTATTTCTAGTCTACTTTCCTATCCTACATTCCATCTCAGCTTCCATCACTACCTTACTCAGATCAAAAGATCACACTATGATCCCAAGAAGAAAAAAAAGTATTTACTTTAATCTTTACCAAAATATAACATTTAAAATGCTAAAAGTCTTTCAATTGTCTAACATCGATTACTAAATAGCAAATTAGGAATTGGCACCCATGCTGACACTTCTCTCATCAACTTAATGTTTAATTTCACTGTTTCCTAAACAATGTATGACCAAGGAATTTCTAATGTTTCATAAAACCTTTCGTGCCAATTGGTACCAAGGGGTAATGGACAGAAGGTAGGTGTGACAGGAAACTATATATTAACAGTAATATGGTGGAGAAAATACATTTCTAATATGTGTCTCTATATCACAAAATATGTCTCATAGCAAATGGACTGCTTGGCCAGTGGAAGGATAGCTGGAAAGATGCTTTCCCCTTCCTGTAAAATTCACAGGTATATCAGAAACTGAATGATAATAATAAGTAACTACTTCCAACTTACATAGAGCTTTATGGTTTATAATTTGCTTTTCCTCATAACCACTCCATGAAATGGATAGTATAAGGATTATTACCAACATTTTATAGATGAAGAAATTGTGGTTAGAGCCTGGGAATAAGGGAGCCTAAACTAAAACCCTGCTATCCAGAGTCAAAGTCCAGGGGCTCTGTCCATTACACTATTACCACCTCTAAAAGAAACTGAAAAACAGTTAGTAGTGTACGTAGCAGTTGTTAGCATATCAAAATGGTATTTGTTGCACCTGGAAGTCATAAACTATGCCTTTTTTCTCCTAGGAAAACTGTCATTAATCTCTTTTTGATGAGCCAACAGCCCCTAATGAGAATAGGAAAATAAACACCAATAGATTGAGAAGCAAACTTTCAAATTAGGAACGATCTATTTGTTTGTTACCTACTAATAAACTTTTATCTAGCTGATAGATTTTAACCGTGGCAAAAATACAACTATTTTTTAAAAGCACACAATATTTCTTCAGTTCCCTGAATAGCAAATTGCTAACTACATTTTAGGTCTAAAATCAAGTTAATCCCAACAAGAAATGCTCTCAGAAATGCCCTCATTTGGCACTCAACAGCCAACATGAGGCATTCTCAGGCTTAGAAAATACTTTCATTACTCTCAGATACACAATAGCATTTGCATATCCTCCTGAAACTTCCTTTTGTTCATATTACTTAAAAAAAATACACTTGAACACATCTGTTTTCTTACTTAGAAAGAAAAATCTTCAGAGAAAAAAAGAAAGGTTGTACATAAAAATCCAACCTTTCGGGAAGGGTGTAAGAGCACCAAGGATTTACCTTTCAGAAGCTGAGGGTTTGATGGCTTACCACAGTCTGGCTTTGAGGACTGAGCCTGAGAACTATACTGAGGTGAAGAAAAAGTATTTGATAGACCAGGAAAACAACAACCAATGGTCCTCTTCCACCTATTCCACCAAGAACAAATTTACCTTTTCTTTTTTGTGCTTATGGTCTTTCTTTGTCTTTCGTTTTTCTTTGCTCTTCTTAGGTTTCTCTTTTGGGTAGCCTTCCAAAAAGCTGGATTGTGGCATAGGTTCGTGTTTCTGACGAGCATCTAAAATAAAATTCAAGTTGAAGTGTAGAAAACACACAAGCTAACAGGAGCAAAAAGGTTGAAGATACCAAAATTGAATTAGCACTAAAGATTGGAGTTAATATTAAGGTAGAACTTGTGTCTGTGGACTCATTTCTGTTGCATTCAAATGCCAGTGTATTAGTATACTTAATCCAATTCAACAAACACAAGGTACCATACATTAGCATTTTTAAAGAGCTACCACAGCATGTACCCATTATGAGACCTATATACTCTATTATATTCTCATTTGAGAGATTGAGGATAAAAATCAAATTATTCTGCTAATACACATTTTTAACTTACCATCAGATCAGTTATTTTACAAACTCTCATATAAGAAAATCAGTTTTAGAAATAGTTTTTCTAAAATACAGAGCCTCTTAAGCTAAAAACCATTTACATATCATTGTATCATTAAGAATGACTGACCAGGAAGGCCTGGGAAGACGTATGTGAATTGAGACAAGTGAAATAAGTAAAACCAGAGAAACAAAATACACTTCAATACTGCCAAAATTTGTCCCAGTATTCCTTTCCCCCAACCAGAAAACTATTCCATATAATGAATAATATTTAAAAGGGAAAAAAAGAAAAAGGAGAGAGGAAAAAAATCAGCAAAACTGATTAATACACCAAAAACGTCTGAAAATATATGTACCATTCCATACCCGTGGACCTTCTATCTTGACAAAGGAATATGGGGAATAAGGCGGTTAGTGGAATGGGGGGGAATGTCTTCTAATATCTCTTCTTTGAGACCATACTCAACCAAAAAACCTAACTGATCACTGTATGATTATACTATTCAAGTTTGACCCTGATGATTTGAAATCAAATGCACCTCCCTGCCTTCTTTGCAGAGGTAGAGAACTATGGATGTGGTACATTGCAGAAATCGATTAATTTGTTGATCAGTTTTACTGAACTGCTTTTTTTCTCCTCTTTCATTCTTTATGATAAAGAATGAACTATAAGGGGCAGCTAGGTGGCGCAGTTGATAGAGCACCGGCCCTGAAGTCAGGAGGACCCGAGTTCAAATCTGCCCTCAGACCAAACACTCAAAACTAGCTGTGTGACCCTGGGCAAGTCGCTTAACCCCAATTGCCTAAAATAAAAATAAAAAAATTAAAATTAAAAAAAAAAAGAATGAACTCTAGTCAGAGATAGGGATGGAGGTATTGACAGATGAATGATGTGAGAACAAAAGATGTCAATAACATTTTTTAAATAGCTGAACAATTAATAAGCAGAGTATCTTCCCCAAAGCTGAATTTACTACTTCAAACTTGAGACTGAGATATTTTTATATAATGCAATTTAGAACCTGTCAAACAACAAAAAATTATGAAATTCACAACAAATAAAATATTTAAGCCAATGAAAATCCATTTTATACTCAAGAGAGTGCTGCAAAAGTTTCATAGTTTTCATTATTTTCCAACACCCCAAAGATGGAAATGTCTTTGTTTTCTAACCCTAACACTAGAAACATGTCTTTTAGTATACGCTTGCCCAATTTTGCTTACTCTAATCTTTTTGTTATCAATATTCTTCTTCACACACTCACCTATTGTCAAACTGAAACTTTTTACTAAAATGACAATCAGAATATTATATGAAAAAGAGACAGAAAGAAGATTAGACATTTAAAAGTATATTCGCTAGTTCAGTTTTCACCAAGGGCCCCTCAAAGAGATGAAATTAAATACTTCATGATCAACAGCCTGGTGACATAAGGGACAGAGTGCTACAACTGGAATGAGGAAGACCTGAGTTAAAATCTGACCTCAGACAGACTAGATGCATGACCCTGGGCAAGGCACTGCACCTAACTGCCTCAGTTTCCTCAACTGTAAAATGGGGAATATAATAACACCTACATCCCAGGGTTGTTGTTAGGATAGAATGAGATAATAATTGCAAAGCACTTAGCACACTGTAGGCACTTAATAAATGCTTATAGTATCTCCCTACACAGTAAACAAATGCTACTCTGTTTTCTTAAAAGAGAAAACCAGGAAAAAATACAGTGACCTGCACTTTCATCTAAACTCCAAATCCACTGTATGCTGAATGTACTGCAGAGGGTTAGATTAACATTTATCAATAAAATTCACTTAATGTCCCCAATCTACAAATGGCATACGTTATATGGCTACTGATACCACGTTATTAGAAACCACAGGAGTTTGACGTATTGACTATAAAGATCACCATTTCCTCATCTGTAACATTAGGGCAGATGACCACGGATGGCCTCTAAGGGCCCTTCCAGCTCCAGGGATATGATCCTGGGAATGGATTTTTCTCCAGTGTTTTTCAGATACAAGCACTTTAAATATGTTATCTTCTTTTGTGATTCTCTACAACCACCCAGGGAGGTGCATGTTAAAAGGTTAAAAGGGAAGGGGGGGAGGACAGACCTATGATGCCATTGGTATAGGGAACATCCAGTGAGGAAACTCCCTTTCCCAGTGCTTACTGGCACTTGCCTTGCAGCTTACTGTCTTAAAAAGAATTACCTAGAGCACTACAAAGTCAAGTGTCTTACAGAGAGTCACACAGATGCTATGTGTCAGAAGTGGGATTTATAGGAACCTAGTGTTTGATAAACCCAAAGACCCTAGCCTTTGGGATAAGAACTCACTATCTGACAAAAACTGCTTGGAAAACTGGAAAACAATAGGGGACAAACTAGGTATAATGCAACACCAAACACTGTATACCAAGATAAGGTGAAAGTGGGTACATGATTTAGACATAAAGAGTGGTATCATAAGCAAATCAGAAAAGGAAGGAATAGTCTACCTGTCAGATCTACGAAGAAGGGAAGAATTCATGACCAAACAAGAGACAGAGAGCATTACAAAATGTAAAATAGATAATTTTGATGGTATTAAATTAAAAAGTTTTTGCACAAACAAAACCAATGCAACCAAGATTAGAAGGAAAGCAGAAAGCTAGGAAACAATCTTTACAGCAAGTGTCTCTGATAAAGGCCTCATTTCTCAAATATATAGAGAACTAAGTCAAATTTATAAGAATACAAGCCATTCCCCAACTGATAAATGGTCAAAGGATATGAGCAGGCAGTTTTCAGATGAAGAAATAGCTATCTATAAGCATATGAAGAAGTGCTCTAAATCATTTTTGATTTGAGAAATGCAAATTAAAACAACTCTGAGGTACCACCTCATATCTATCAGATTGACTAATATGACAAAAAAGGAAAATGATAAATGTTGAAGAGGATGTGGGACAATTGGGACACTAATGCACTGTTGGTAGAGTTATGAACTGATCCACTCAGTCTGGACAGCAGTTTGGAACTATGTCCAAAGAGCAACCAAACTGTGCACACCTTTTGATCCAGCAATACTACTATTAAGTCTGTATCTCAAAGAGATCATGAGAAGGGAAAAGGACCTATATGTGTGAAAATATTTATAGCAGCCCTTTTCATGGTGGCAAAATATAGGAAATTGAGGGGACGCCCATCAATTGGGGAATGGCTGAACAAGCTATGGTATATGAATGTAATAGTATATTACTGTACAATAAAAAATGATGAACAGGATTTCAGAAAAAGTTGGAAAGATTTGTATGAACTGATGCAAAGTGAAATGAGTATAACCAGGAAAACACTGTACACAGTAACAGCCACATTGTGTGATGATCAACTATGAATGACTCAGCTCTTCTCAACAACACAATGATCCAAGACAAGTACAAAGGACTCATGAAGGAAAATACTATTCACATCCAGATAAAGAACTGATGGACTCAGAATGCAGACTGAAGAATACTTTTTTCACTTATTTTACTCCTTTTCATGGTTTTTTTTCCTTTTGATCTGTTTCTTTTTTCACAACTGTGACTAATATGGAAATGAGTTTTACATGATAGCACATGTATAACTACATCAAATTGCCTATCATTTTAGGAAGAGGGGAAGAGAGGAAGGGAGGGAGGAAGAAAACTTGGAACTCAAAATCTTGTAAAAACACTGAATGCTAAAAATTGTCTTGACATGTAATTGGGAAAAAAATAAAATACTATTTAAAAAAAAAAGAAGTGGGATTGAGCCCAGCTATCTATCTATTATGTCATGCTGCCTCCCAGAGAGTACATTAACCTATTTAGAGATGAGGAAACAGGCTCAGAGGGATGGATTTATGTTAAATCAGGAAATGAGTGGCAGGGTTGGGACTTAAACTCAAGCCTTCTAGAAGATTCTAAGTGCTATAATGTTTCTCAGTACAGAGATTTAAGAGTACTATACTATTTTCCTCTTCAAAAGTCCTTCCACACCTTTTATTTTTTTATTTTAAAGACTGATAAAGTTTTAAACATTTAAGATCTTTATACTCAATATCTTTAAAAGATGAAAAGTAAAGATCAAGTTATTTTTCTTTGAAAAGATTTTGAAGGCTGTAAACCAACAAATGTTATGATCAGATGGAATAGAAACATTTCATTGGATTCCACATTATTAATTTCTCTTTGGATCTTAGTGTCCTCATCTTTAAAATGGTGATGTCTTCCGTATAAGTTATATTACTGTCTGATTAAAGCAATGACTACAAAAATGGTCATATTCATTTCCTGAACTTGCCAGTGTACACAGTAACCTGAGCATTTACAGAGGAGGCTTGGTAGATTTGAATGAGCGTTGTGGTGACAGTAAGAAGACTCAATTTCATGATTTCATGAATACAATGTGAATTTTATTTTTATATTTGCAAGAATACTAACTCACAATGTCTGCTTGCTTTATTAAAGAGAGTTAACTTATTTTGTTAAGATAATAATTAACATATCAACACTTTTAAAAAGCTCTTTGTATCTCACCTGATCTTTACAACACCTACTTGAGATTGGTCTTATTATTATTATTAGTCCTATTTTATAGATTGAAGAAACAGGCCGTGAGAGGTTAAGTGATTTGCCCAGGGTCACAAAGCTAATATCTGAGGCAGGATTTGAACATAAGCCTTCCTGACTCCTAGTCTGCCTCCAAGACTGCCTCAAAGGATCGGATTCAGAGCTAGAAAGGACCTCAAAGGTCATCTCCTCCAACCCTTTCATTTTATAAATTAGGAATATAAGCCTAAGGGCACACAGACAGTAAGTCTCAGAGGAAAGAGTGCAGGTCTTCTGACTCTAGAGCCCATGGCTCCTTTTTGTGTACCATACTTTCTCTATGAAAAATTTATTTTAAAAGCTTTAATACAGACTCCTCGGCACCAAAGCAGGGCAATCAGACCCCCCACATTTTGACGCTAACACTGACTCCTCTCTTTCTATTCTCGGTTCCAGCCACACTAGACAATAGGTCATCTCTAATGTCCTGCCCTCTCCACACCTGTGCATGTGTGTGAACAATTCCCTGCCTAGAGGCGTCTTCTCCTCCTCTCCTTTGGCTGATCGGACCATCACAGCCCAGCTTAGATGCCATTTTCCCTGTGAAACCTTCACTGATCTCAGCTGAAAGTGGTCCACCTTTCTTCTTTTGTTCATGGATCACATTCTACTTTGTTAATATACTTTTTTAGGTACATCTTATTTTTCCTTCTGCCTGCTTCACCCCATTAGATTAAGTGTAGTCTCGCTGAGGGCAGGAATAACAGGGCTTTTTTCACGTTCATATCACTGTTGCTTAGTAAGATGTTTCGCACATAACAGGTATTTCATAACTGTTTATTGAATTGAAATTCAGGGAAAAAAATTTAATTTAATTTTAAAATTTAAATTAAAAAAAAAATAAATTCAGAAGTAAGAGAACGGATATTATTTCTGAAGCAAATATGTATACCGAGGGTTCTCAACTTACTAGGACAGAACACAGGAGGGAGCCGTGGGCCAAATTCTTCTCTTTCATCGAGCTGTATCTTCTGTAAAGTAACAGGAGGCACTGGCTCATTGACCACCACTGCACTGACTGCATAAAATGAGCATATTTTAATTTTTAAAAAAGAAACACCTCAGGAAAAAAAAGTACAGATATGCAGGATTATCTTCTGTTATAAAGTAACAATGCAATTTAACTAAAAATTAATCACAGTGTACAAGTTAATAATCCTATTTCTTTCTTATACTTTCAGAAGAAAAAGACTGACATTTGCAACATTTTATATTTATATGGAACTTTTCATTATGAAGGCTGCCAAAAGATTAAAGTTATATACCTAGGTTAATAAACATAATAGATATGGCCAATAAAAGATTTTGAGCACACATAACTGTATAGAAAGGATCATAAAACGCAGATAGCCTTAGAATATGATTTTCTTTCTGTAGAAAAAACAACTAACGAATGTATTAAATTAGACTTCCGTATAGTTTTTCAAAGATCCAAACCAGCATTTGCAAAGATGAGGACCTAAGAAGTCAAGTGAATCTTCACTTTTTTATGGCTATTATTTACTTATGATGCCTGTGCTGCTGTAGTTCTACGTCACTATGACTGAATACACAAAACAAATGAAATATGTGTTAAGTAGTTTTCAAACTTTAAAGTGCTCTGTGTAAGCTAGTAGGACTGTGAGAAAATCCTGCTTCTTTTATAAAGTTGACAACAATTTAGTTCATGTTTCTGAAATAAAGAATTTTGAAGTTACGCTTACGTTCACCTTGCTTGATGACTCCTCATACAACCAGTTACTTGCAGAAACCACCAAGTAGTGACTACAAAAATCTGCCCCCACAAAAAAACAATGAGGAATAAAATAATCTTGAAAATTATATTCATAACAGAAACCTAACTAATGAGCTATTATGGACACATGTATATAGAAAGAAATTAATATTGAAGTGTAAATATCTGTAAATGTATGTTGATTTGGTTTTGTTTAAAGTGCTATTTGCTATCTGTGGCAGCAAAGAATTAAAAGTAAAGTAGATGCTCATCAACTGGAGAATGACTAAACAATCTTGATATATGAATGCAAAGAAATACTATGATACTTAAAGAAATATTGACTGTGAAATATATAGTGAGACATAGAAAAACTGATATGAACCATAAGGAGTACAATGTAAATTTAAACTACACAGTATATAATTATAACGACTAATTTTTGTCCCAAAGAAAAGAAATGACAATGTAACTACCCTCTCTTCCTTGCAGAGGTTGGTGGCCTAGATGTGGAACAACTATTTATTGCTTGGTTTTGCCAAACTGCTTTTTTTTTCCTTTTTCTTTCTTTTTTCTTTTTATTTATCATAAAGTTTCTCTGGGCAGTGATATATTGTGAAATGAAGTGAAATAAAACAAAAAATACTAACAAAATGTTTTAAAGAAAAAGTACAAACTATTTAAGTACCTAATAAATTATTTAAAATTCAAACACATATCTGTAGAGTGAATGCATGTGTGTAGTCCAATGTATTTCACAGACAAAAGTTCACAAAGCCCAAAGAACCTGGCTTGATTAATCATAAAAATTTCAAAAAACAATTCTATTTTAGTTATCAAAATCCATTAATTTGGGTCTTTCTCAACAGATTTAAAGTTCTGCAAACTATCTGTGTTAGCACCTCCACAGACAAGTGTGAAACAAAAGATGGTGATAATAAATAATCATGGCTCTCCTAAAAATCCACCAGATACTTGCCTTAAAAAGAAATAAGAAATTGTCCTTGTGCAGTAGTAACAACATAGCTCATGAAACCCAGCCAAGGCACAACTATTGCTACTTAAATTAAATCAGTTAGCTAATTAAACAAAGAATTACCTTTGATTTTAAGTATCCTAATGTGCAACTCTGAAAGTAAAGCAAATAGGTAGTTTTTCTAGAAACATTGCCATTTTCTGCATTAATTACAAAAGTTTTAAATACGGACAACAAATACCTTGTATATCAGATGATGTTTCTACCAAATCACTTGGCTTTGGACTTTTAGGATCTGATCCTCCAGGATCAGCTTGATTGTCTTCATTTTCACTTTCATCTTCTTCAGAGGAAGAGGATTTTTCATCAGAAGAACTGGCAAAGATAGCTTTAAATAAATCCATGGATGGTCTGCTACCTTCTTCATTCTTTTGATGTACACTTTCATTTTCCACCTGAATATTATACAGTAAGAAGGGCAGTGCAGAAATAGAATAAAAGGAGATATCAAAACATTAAAGGAAAGGAAAAAAGAGTTAAACGCATAGAACATCCAATGAGCATGTGAGCACATATGCTTTGTGGTGACTGCCCCAAAAGCTAAGACCCTGGCAGCTAGGAACAGTACCAAAGGACCACTTCAGAACAGGGTCCAAGAAAATAGTCCAGTCAAGAAGTGATGAAGTCCGAAATTAGGGTGGTTGCAGTGTGAGTATAAAGAAAGGGATATAAGAGATGCTGAAGAGGTAGAATCAATAAGACTTGGTAAACTGATTGGCCAAATCACTGATAATTAGGGAAATTCAAATTAAACTAACACCGAGGTTTTACCTCACACCTATCAGATTGACAAAGTGGACAAAAACATAAAATGACAAATGTTGGGAGAACTGAAAGAAAATAGACCCATTAAACGATGCACTACTGCTAAAGCTGTAAATTGGTCTAATCGTTCTGGAAATCCATTTGTAACCATGTCAAAAAAGTTACTGAACCGTGCATAGTCTTTGACCCTGTATTGCCCCTACTAGGCCAATACCCTAAAAAGACCAAATAAAAAGAAAAAGGACCAAGCTGTACAAAAATATTCATAGTAACTCCTTTTACACAGGCTAAGACCTAGAAACTAAGGAAGTACCCTTCAATTGAGGAATAGCTAAACAAATTATGTTATATAAACTTAATATCATTGTGTCATAAGAAATGACAAAACGGAGGATTTCAGAAAAACCTGGAAAGATATGTACGAATTGATGCAGAGTAAAGAGATCAGAATTAGGAGAAAAATTTATATAATAATAATAGCAATGCAAAAACAAACACCTCTGAAAGACTTAAAAAACTCTGATCAATGCAATGACCAGCCAAGATTCCTGAGGCACAAGGAAGTAGAGGACTACCCATACATGCTGACAGAAAGATGAGGGATTCAAAATGCAGAATGAGATATACATTTTTGGACATGGCTAATATGGAAATTTGTTTTGCTTGACTATGTATATTTATCAGAAGGATTTCTTCCCTTTTTCTTTCTTTGGGGGAATAAAGGAGACAGGGATGTAGACAATAAATGCTTGTTAATTGAAAAAATGTTAACTAAAAAAAAAAGAATACCCCCTAGGTTGTAAACATGAGAGACTAGAAGAAAAGTGTCTTCTATAGAAGGAGGGAAGTTTAGAAAAAGGGTGAGTTGAGAATTTAAGTCAATAATTTTGTGTCAATGTTTAATACAGGCTGAGTACATATACATAGTACCACTCAGCTACATTAAGATCAATCTAAATCATTTTTCTAACACTGTTAAAAAATATTGCTGAGATTCTAGGGCACTGAAGAGTAACTAACAAGTACAGAAATCACTGTAATGGAGAAAAGTAATGGTCTCAGCATAAATATGAGAACATGACAAAAACAGCAGTCTCGTTTATACCTTAGTCGAAGATGATTTCACTGTACTCCCTTCAGCATTATTTACCAATGGCCTCAGCTGTTGTTTCTGAATTTCAACTTTTGATCTAGCCATACTTAGAAATTCACTAATACAATCTTCTTTCTTCTCTTCTTGGTCAGGTATATCCCACCTGGATGGCTTTCTTGGTTCTAAAAATTGATTGATACCAACAATAATACAGTTATACAAATGAACTTCTCCATCACACAGATCATATATTGCTCTGTATTCATTATTATACAAAAGCTGATTTATAAATTTCTGGGTAATTCTAATGAAGTTTGCAAGCAATTTGCTTTTTTAATGAATATCATTTGCTTAAGATTCCATAACTGGCCACATATTAAGACAATGACTATTTATTATTATATTAATCAAATGACGTCCTACTCACTGTTTCGACTGTGATTCTGTTGTACCCTTTCACTTGATACTTGAGTTGCAGTTAATGTTGTGGGCTCAGCTATTGTTAAAAAGTTAAATACTGAATACTTATCACGTTTAACTTTTGGTAATCCAACTATAGTTGAACTAGAAGGAAAAAAAAAGGAGGAATTTTAATTAACACCAGCTTTCAAATAAATTATCCTTAAATGTCAATTCTTTTTATTTTGTCCTAATAGGCCCTACAAAGATCTGTATTAGTTAAAGTATTTCCATATTTTAAAGAACCACTTTTAATTGAATTTTTAAAATATTCATTTGTAAAGCACATGAGGACTATTTTCCAGAAGCAGGGCAGCTTGAAAACTACAAGTTGATCTTATTATATATTTAAAAGAAAAAAAAAACTGTACATAACAGAAATCTGAAGTTTCATGTACAATCCTCTTTTTTTATTCTACTGTATGTATACAAATGCAAGTGTTTGTTAACTTCAGAATAAAAATTAAAATTAATTTTAAAAGGAGTATTTCCTAATCACAAATGCCTATATTTTAGTATTAAAGCCATTACCAGTGAAACTTACTACAAATATATGATAAGTTTTGGTTTAACTGTACATCTTTTCTTACAATGCTTGTAACTAAATGCAAAGGACTGCATTGCTGTGAGAGGATAAAAGCATGTAAATAACATTCAATTTAAACTGCATAAAGAGTACAACAGATGATGTTAAAGGATTTATAGATAATAGTGAAAATTCTTTAATCTTTAAGACTATTAGTAACAGGTAGTTACAGGTTTATAAACATTTAAATATAAAGACAAAAGTTATCCTCACTTTGGTAATATGAAAAATCTATGCTGATGGAAAAATCTGCCTTTAACCTTACTATCATATTAACAACTTACTCTGGGTAAGGATCAGGGATGTTAAATCTTTTACAAAGCAGTTTTTCAGGGTGCCACTCAAATTTATCTCTTGTGAGCTTTCCAAACATCTTCATCTTCACAGCAGATAGTTTGTCATCAACATCGTTCTGTAAAAATCCAAGTGTTTTATTTCTTCTCTGCCTTTGTGCTGTCTCCCCCTCCTGGAATACTCCCCCTTGTCACCAATGCCTCTTCAAATCCTTGGTTTGCTTCAAAACTCAACTCATATACCATCTTCTACACGAAGTCTTTTCTAATCCCCCTAGCCACTAGTGCCCTTTCCTCCCACCACTGCCTCATATTAAATCTTTCACATATTTGGTTTGTACTTCAACTTACCCAAAACAAGGAGGCACTTAACACTTGTTAACTGATTGAATGACTGTATAAAAACCTGATCTGATCAACTGAAGACAAAAAGAGGAAGGACTCTTTCTGAGAAATCTATTTAAATAAAATAGATCTTTCACATTTCTATAAAGCATTTGATGATATGACATTTCATTTTATGACATTTAACAGTTTCGGTACCCTTAGTGTGGGAACCCTTTGACCAACGCAAATCAAGAACTCACTTGTAACACAGAGAGTCTTCTAGAGTTGCCTAGATCTCATCCCCCTCAGACTAACAACAATGACAAAAAAGGAAAATGACAAATGCTGAAGGGGCTGCAAGAAAACTGGCACACTAATACACTCTTGGCGGAACTGTGAATTGTCATTCCAGTCATTCCAGTCACTTTACAATTTAGAACTATGCCCCAAAAGATGCAAATTGTACATATCTTTGACTCAACTCTATTACTACAAGGCTTCTGCCCCAATGGATCAAAGAGGAAAGGGACCAAATGTACAAAATTATCAAAGCTCTTTTCATAGGAGCCAAAAACTGGAAATCAAGAGGTTGCTCTCCATTTGGAGAATGGCCAAACAAATTATGGCATGTGAATATAATGGATTACTATTACACCATAAAAAATGACAAAATGGACAACTTCAAAGGAAAATGTCAAGAGACTTCTATGAAATGATACACAATAAAGGGGGCAGAACTAGGAGAATAATTTATATACGACATTATAAAGAAAAACAACTCTGAAAGACTGTAGAACTCTGATTAAAGCAATCATTAACTAATAGTCCAAATGACTAAAGATGAAGCAAGTTACTTACCTCCTGCCAGAGAGATGATGGATTTAAAATATAGAAAGAGACAAACATTTGGGCGGACAAGACCATTGTAGGAACCTGTTTTGCTGAACTCTCAATGTTTATGATAGTTTTATTTTTGAGGTTGTTTTTGTTGTTTGTTTCTGTTCAATTGGTAGGAGGAATGAATGGCAAGAGGGATATTTACAAATGCATATAATAAAATAGACAAATTTCTTTTTAAAACAACAACTAAAAAGAAAGGTGCCCAGGGAACTGAAAGGTTAGGTAATTTGCCTTAGGTCACATAGCTAGTGTGTCAGAGGCAGGGCTAGAACTCGGGCCTTCCTCACTCCAACACCAGCCCTTTATCCACTACATCACACTGCCATATTACTTTTATTATAAGATTTAAAATATTTTCCTAGTATTTTGTAAATTAAAAATTGACAATGCACTAAGATTGTGATGGCAAACCTCTTGGTCTCGAGGAACTTCTACTTGGTCTGTGTCATCTTCCTGTTTGGCATGAGTAAATCTGGAGGCCAGTGACGACCTGGAGGGCTTGTACAGCACAGCTGCTCGCACAAATTCATCCCGCTCTCGTCCTCGTTCCCATTCAGTCATCCTGGGATCTAAACAACTTTCCAAAGCTTCTATTGTATAGGACAGAAGAAATAATTTCATCATAAAAAATAAGGGGCCTTCCATATGCACCAAACTATTTACAGCAGCACTTTTTGCACTGGCAAAGAAACTAAAAACCAGGCCAATGTCCACTGATCAGGGAATGGTTGTCCAAGCTATAGTGTAAGAATGCAATGGAATATTACTGTGCTAGGAGACATGGCAAATAGAACAAATGGGAAAATTTATAAACTGATGCAAAATGAGGTTAAGAAGAAGCAGGAAAGTAAATCTGTATACCAGAGGTGGGGAATATGCAGCCTCGAGGCCACGTGTGACCCTCTAGGGTCCTCAAGTGCAACCCTTTGACTGAATCTAAACTTCACTAAAAAAAAAGGGGGGGGGGGGCCTTAATGAAAATATTTAGTTCATATGATGATCTGCTAATATTTGAGCTAATTTATGTGTCAATGAAAAAAATCAAACTGTACATTCTTGATTTTTCTAATTAGAAACATAAAATCTTTACCAAAGCAATGTTAAAAAAGTTCTAACTTCAGATTAGTCTAAGAAAGTACTTCAAAGACAAAAAAACCTCTAACTTTAGATTAACCTAGGGAAAGTAGAACAGTACTGCTTTCTCCCTCACCACATCAATCAGTTAATTCTGATATATTTACTAAGGAAAACAATCGTTAAAAATGTTTTTTTAAAAAACAGTCAAAAAAAAATGGTCACCACTATTAAGTGTTTAGAATTTTTTTTTTAAATTAGAATCCTTAGAAACCCAAACATAGCCATCTGACTTTTCAGTCCACTGGCCGCTTTGATATAGTAAAAATATTTTATTACAGTTAAACTCATGGCTTTTAAATGAACAGATTAATAGTTAATGTCTTTGGTGCAACAAGGTAGCAAAGAAATCTGTAAAACAGAGTTTCATCTTTCATTTCTAAAATAGTTGAAGGTACTCAAAGAGCAAAAACTACCCATATTCACTGGTGGTCTGTACAAGATCAATTACTGGGGCACATGCACTTAAAGAAGATGAAAAGTAATGTTTAAATCATTTTCATTGATTTTAAAAAGTTGCCCCTCTCTCTTGAATCTGGATAATTAATCAATATCACTGCTTCATCTCTCTTGCTCCATCAATGCTTCCCAACTCCACAGGTTTTTTTTTTCCAAGTCTGTTTCTTTTTAACTGCATTCCAGGTCCCTTTCATGAGTCCAGCTGTTAGCTACAACATTAGGATTCCATAAGGGCTTGAGGGATCCAAGATATGGACACCCAAGTTAAACTTGCCTCAAAGATAAACAGGATCAGCACCACTAGAATAAAAGAATAAGACTTTTCTATTTAATCATAAAAATTCACCACCACCCCTAGCAGCCAAAAAGGTATGGTAAAATGAGATTTCCTGATTACCTTTCTGCCCTTGTTTAATATTGTCTAAGTACTTTTCATATCGTTTTTGTTTTTCTGGATCTTTTGCAAAAGGTCTGAAATCACTGGATCTTCCTGCAGTTACATCCCCACTCAATACCATCTGCTGTGTGTATGGAAAATCATCTGGAGAATCTGGCTGAAATCTGCTATTCCAAGCTTTTGGTACCAAAGCCTTTGCCTTTATTTCAGCTGCTTTAATGTCAGTTGCCCGTTTCATTTCATTTATTCGTTCTTTATCTTTCTGGGATAGAAACTCTAAAATAGATGTTGACGAACCTAAATAAAAACAGTTAAGAGTTGAGAAGTATCAAATGTTTGTTCCTTTCTAAGCTTTATTGTACATTTTTAATACCTTAAAATTAGTAAGTTTTGAATCTTAAATTCAAATTTTTTCAGGAAATTAAAGCCTTTCGTGTATATTGTCTAATTTTCTCTCATAATATCCTTGTGAATTAAACATGTCAGGAGCTGACATTCAAATTTTAGAGATGGCAAACAACTGCACTTCAGTAATTCGATGTTCATTAAACAAGTTAATAACAGAAAATGGAATCTTTAGATCATCTTACACCTGGTCAATGATGTCCCATACTTGGCTGGCCAGTACTTCAATGTGCCTCCATGACACATGCTCCAACTCAACAGCCTACATCAATGACAAAACCTATATCGCAGGCACAAGATAATATTCCAAAGTAGATCTTTGTATCATAATCTATACAATATTCCCCAACATGGAATCAGGAATACCACAAAACCAGGTCCTGGACTACCCTTCTGAGTGGTAGAGAAGAACAATGACTTTTCAGTCTTAGAAATGCTGTTTTCGATCTAAGCAAATGGATTAAGGAAAAATGATATTACCATCTTTCTCAATTACTAGTAATTTTTAGATAATTAAGAACTGTCCTGAAAAATCTGCTTATGATGAGTAGTATTAAGTCTGAGCAAAAAGACGGATGGTGGTAAAATCAACAAACTATCATTAAGTAAAAGGAATATAAATATATTATCTTTATTAGCTGTATATTTAGTGTGGTTATTTGGTAGGCAGTTCAGATATATGCCCTAAGAATGCTATTAAAAAATACTTTTATTTTAACATATTAGAAATAGAAAATTATGTTTAAATATTCAATGGGTAAAAAAGAATCTACTTAAATAAGTTATATGATGTTCACTGAAATGATTTTGCTTTACATACCTTGAATAGGAGTTTCTCCAAGCATCTCTGCCCTCTTAGAGGCATTTAATTGATACCTGCTTTGTTTTGACAAGTCACTTAACATTTTCCCAGTTGATTCTGATAGTGCTTGACATAAATGAGAATTTTCTGAAGTTGCAGTTATCACAGGTCTGAAATAATGGACTGGTCTGTAATCCTTTGGCAATTCAGGTGGTGGGTAAATCTTTAAAAATAAACAGAAAATACATGTTGTAAAATCAAACAAACAAAAAAAACCCTTTATATCCTAGCTTTCATCCCAGATAGTTAACATAAATATGAACGTATTATATTTAACTTTTAAAACTGCAATCACAAATCACAAATCTATAGATTAATACTAGTTACAAAAACTACTATGCTTATAAAAATGAAACCATTTGCTAAAGAACCACAGACAACTCAACTATTCCTAACCTTTCAGTTTTTATTACTCCCTAATCTCCACTAAATATACTGCTGGAATGCATGTTCTATATAAAATGTATTAGCCGTACGGGTTGCATAAATCCGGGGACCACCGCAAAGTTATCTCACTGAAATCTATAATTATTTGAAAAAGTTCAGTTAAATGATCCATAAAACAACTGTAGCACTGTAGATGGAGCTCTGTGTATGGAGTCAGGAAAACCTGAGTTCAAATTTGGCCTCAGACACTTACTAGGTATGTGACCCTGGGCAAATCACTTAACCTCGGTTTGCCTCAGTTTCCTCAACTGTAAAATGGGGATAATAACACCTACCTCCCACAGTTGTTGCGAGGATCAAATAAGATAATATTTGTAAAAGCACCTAATACAGTATCTGCCACAGAGTAGGTACCATATAAATGCTTATTCCCTTCCCCTGGTACAAAAAATTGAACAGAGCTAGACAGTCAACACACTGCGTTAGACCACCAATACACATAGGGATCCTGGAATCCTTAAGGATTTGTGCTTGGATCTTCCTTCTGGAATGCAGCAGAGGAGGAGAGGCTTTCTCCTTCCCTACCACATGCTTTCTCCAACACAAATGAAAGGAGAATTCAAGGACAATGTTCCTGATCCCCAAACACCTATGTGGAGGGGTGGGTATTTTGAATTTCCTAAGCAGCATGATCTCAGCTTCTAGCCTTCTAACAGAGAAGGGCAGTTGCTTTATGGGTAACCCTCAGTTCAACATTTTCTGAGCTTGAGAGTTAGGAAGCGAGACTTTCTAGAGAGAATTCCTGATACAACATAATCTTTGGAGAAAAAAGAAGACAATCCACATGGCTCTTACCCAGTGCTCAACTTGAAGAGCAAAACTAATTAGTTACTTGAACAAGGAAAATTCAGTCAAAAGGAGCTATTCGTGGGGCAGCTAGGTGGCACAGTGGATAAAGCATCGGCCCTGAAGTCAGGAAGACCTGAGTTCAAATCTGACCTCAGACCAAACTCTTGATATCACTTAACCCCAATTGCCTTAAGAAAAAAAAAAAAAGGAGCTGCTCAGCAAGTTTCATAAATGTTTACCTTTTGGGGAGAATCTCAATTACAGGACTAAGAGTCTTGATGTAAGGCTCTGCAAGAAAGAAGGACTCCCTGGAATGACAAAGGATTGCCCTAACAGCAACTCCAAGTTCAATTCCCTTTTGGGGGTGAAGAAAGTTAGGAGCAGATGAAGTCAATGGGCTCTTTCAGTGTTTTACGTTTCTTATTTGTTCAAAGGCTCTGGCAAGATCATAGGGTTTGTGAGGTGAAATAAAGACTGTCCCATAACCAATAACCATATTGTACAATGAGTGCCTATACAGGATTTGGGGACCCTGTTTAGGACATGCTATAAACACAAACTATGCCATCATAATCATCATCATCACCAGCAACACCATCACCATCGTCAACAAAATTAACAACTAGAATTTACATAGTACTTTAATGTTTCAAAGAACCTTACAAATGTTACCTCATTTGATCCTCACAATAGCCCTGTAGGATAGGTGTTATTATTGTCCCCATTTTATAGATCAGGAAACTAAGGCCAATAGAGGTTACCTGGCCAGGGTCACACAGCTAGGAAGTGTCTTGAGCAGGATTTCAACTCAGTTCTTCATGACTCAAAATGCAGCATTATATCCGTAATGCCACCTAGCTGCCCTTACTTAAATTTTATTTTAGAGCTTTTCTAGAGTAATCCAAGATAGGGGCAACAATCCAAAGGAAGAAAAATCGAGCCTTTGGAATCAATCTCCCAGGTCCATGTGATCCTAAAGTATTTGGGCAGTCCTGGGCCACAAGTTACATATACATGTTGTTTCTTTAAATAGAAGGTGATCTCCTTGAGGACAGGGACTACTTTGTTGTTGACTGATTACCTTCCTGGATAAGTGCAAAAGAATGACAATATTCTGGGCTCAGAATTATAGGGGAGCAGGTCAAGCTGGACTGCATTAAAGAAACTGTGCAGTGCTCTCAATATTTCTAAGCTTGTTACTACAGTTAAAGCCAGATTTTTAAACATCAATATTTTCCATCTGAGTGAAAGAGTACTCACTCTTCGTGAGTTAAAAAAAAAAAAAGACGTGAGCTATTTGAACTGTAAGCAGGGAGGGTAAAGAAGGGATCTGAAGCTGACCTTAAGAGGTATTGAGTCCCTACTACTGGAGGTCTTCATGCAGAAGTCCAAAGATCATTTATCAGGGATGTTGTAAAGCAGATTAGATTCATGCTTAGGGGACTGAACTAGATGATCTCTGAGGGCTGTTCCAATTCAAGATATCTTCATAATTCCTTTGTTCTAGTAACCAATGAATATCCATACCAATGAATAAAAAATTCATTGAATTGTTAAAGTCAATTAATTTAATCAATGCTTCACCTACCATCTGTCTAATTCCATTCACCAGAAAAATTTACCTAAACTCATAAACCACTCAACATCTCCTCTATATGATTTAAATCAATTCTTTTCATTCATTTTCTCTTTCATTACATGGAGAAGTTCTGTTTTACTTATGAACTGGAAATGTGATTTATTATTACCCACAGGAAAGCCTAACCATTGACTTGAATAATAAACATGAATAAAAAGCATTTATTAAGAGTTCACTATGTGTGAAAAAGTATACTAAGCAGTAGGGGTGAAAACTCAAAAGACCTTGAGATGTTTACATTATAGTAGGAGACAACACATATAAGGAAGTGCTAGCCAGGGAAAGGTGCTTTGCTTTGGGAAGTCTACAGCTGATCCTACAGATAACAGAGAATCATTGGAGTTTATTGAATGAGAAGCTGACGTGGCCAGACTTTCACCTTAGGAAAATCACTTTGGCCACAATGTATAGAATAGATTGTAGTGGAGAGAGGCTTAAAGTTGGAAGATCAAATAGGACACTACCACAATGGTCCAGGTGAGAGGCGATGAGGACCTGAAGCAGGGTGGTAGTTATAATATAAGTGCAAGTAAAGTAACATATCTAAGAGATGTGGTGGAGGTAGAAATGACAAGATTGGGCAACTGACAGGGTATGTGTAGTGAGTGACGATAGTTCTAATGTTGCAAACTTGGGTGAGTAGGATAGTGGTGCCCTCAATGGTAATATGGAAGTTTGGAAGAGAGGTGGGTTGAGGGAAAAGATAATGAATTCTATATGTGAGATGTTGAGTTTGAGTTGCCTAGAGACATCCCATTTAAAGTGTCTAATAGGAAAATGATGATGCAAGACCAGAACTTAGGAAGAGTTTAGGGAGAGATATATAGATCTAAGAGGCAATGGCATACAGATGATAATTAAACCCATGGAACCCATAAGATCATAAAGTGAGAGAGTATAGGGAGAATAAAAGAGAGCAAGTCAGAGCCTCAGAGTACACCCACAATTAGCAAGAATGACACAGATGATGAATGAGCAAAAGAGACTGAGAAGAACTGATCACAGAGGAAGGAGAACCATGTAGTATCATCAACTCAGATAAATGTGATAATTAGCAGTGGCTCCAGATGAATAATAATGAAACATTACTTCCCTCCTAGTAGAAACAGCAAGATTCCCTGATAGAAAAAAATAGAGGTTACATTACCAGGTGAGTCAAAACCACTGCCATTACCTCAACTACCACCTCTCCTTAGACTCTGGAGGAATCAGCTCAGGACTCTGGACACAAGAGCCCCAGGACCAGCAATGGCTTCCTGACTACCAACCTTTCTTCCAGCCTAGCTCCTACAGATGTCACCCAGAGTGGGCAACTCCTGTGGTTATGCAAGTTGTCAGATGCCTCTGCAAGTGCTACAGACCTTACTTTCCCAGGAGCCATAGCTACTCTAGACTGAGGAAAGAAAGGAGTCACTGGCATGGTCAAAAGGTTCAATATGAGAGAGGATAATGATTTTTATCAATGGAAATGACACTCAAGAAGACAGACCAATGGACATTTCCAACTAACCTGAAGCTGAACTTTCCCATATGTATAGTATTTCCTTACTAGAATGTGAGCTCCTTGATTTTCTATTTTTATCTACAGAATTTTGGACTTTGGGTATAAGATGATACATGCTGCATCAATAACAACTGCTATAGTAAAAGGTTTTAACTACTTTTGTTCTTTTTGGTTATATAAGAAAGAGAACTATGGAGAACATGACAAAGTGACTGCTGTAAAAGACAATTATGAATCACTAAAACATTTTATAAGAGTCAATTTCACTCTTTGACCCAGCACTATAGCACTTCCAACACTATATTTCAGAGAGATCATACAAATTGGAAAAGGACCCACATGTACAAAACTATTTATAGCAGCTCTTTTTGTGGTGGCAAAGAATTAGAAATTGAGGGGATGCTCATCAATTGGGGAATGGTTGAACAAGTTGTGGTATATAAATGTAATGGAATACTATGGTGCTATAAGACATGATGAACAGGCTGACTTCAGAAAAACCTAGAAAGACTTGTATGGTCTCATGCTGAATGAAATGAGTAGAACCAGGAGAACGTTGTGCACAGTAACAGCCAGGATCTAATACATCTTCAAAGGCCTCATGTTGGAAAATGCTATCCACATCCAAAGAAAGAACTATGGAGTTTGAAGGCAGATCAAAGCATACTATTTGCTATTTTTTTCTTCTGTTGTGTTTTGTTTCCTCTTTCTGGTGGTTCTTCATATTGGTTCTAATTCTTACCTATAACATCACTAATGTGAAAATATGTTTTATAGGAATGTATATGTATAGCCTATATCAGATTGCGCACCATCTTGGGGAAGGAGGTGGAAAGGGAGAGGGAGAAAAATTTAAAACTCAAAAGCTTATGGAAGTGATTGTTGATAATTCAAAATAACTTAATTAAAAATTTTTTTAAAAAGAGTCAATTTCATTCTGGGGGAATGTCATTGGCACTTGCCCTGTCCAGCACCTTCAAAATCATTTCTTGAAAGTATCTACGATATACAGCAATATACAACCTTTAGATTCTTTCATTTTTGAATGCCAAACTATATTTTATAATGTATTTTACACCATTCTCTAAGACTTCACACTCCATTCGTCTACTAGCAAGATAAAGCATTTAACTAAGGCTAAATCACTTGTCTACCCACTTGAAATAATAAAGAATAGGCTGTAAATTTAAAAGCTAAGAGAACAGTCTTGGTTAGGGTTGGCCAGGAAGTGAAGCAGAATTCCTTTTCTTCAGATTCCTTGCTTCACTTCCTGCTATAACAATGGACAAGTCCCTTCACTCCTCTGAAACTCACTTTCTTTATCTGTAAAATGGGGATAATAACTATAAGAGGGACCTTCGGGTTTTGTGAGGGTCAAATGAAATATGTCAGTTATTATTATTATTATTATTATTATTATTATTATTATTATTATTATTAT